CTAGTACTCTTTAATTCGGATGTCGAAACCTAGGTTAAGATAGATACTTTCGATATAGTAGTAGTAGATATTCTTTTATAAAAGAACGAGAAAGAAGAGCTATATTCTATAGTCTTCTTCTCTAAGAAAATAACTCCCGCCGAATATAATTACGAGATTTACGATAAGGAATTACTAGCGATTATTAAGGCTTTTAAGAAATAAAGACTAGAACTTATAGATACTAACCCGAAACGATCTATTCGGGTACTATCTAACTATCGTTCTCTAGAATATTTTATAATAATAAAATAACTTAATTGTCGATAAGCTAGGTAGAGTAAGTTTCTTTTAGAATTTTACTTTAATATCGAGTATCGACTAGGCTAATAAGGGACGAAGCCTAATAGCTTAATACGTCGACCCGAATATAAGCCCGAATATACGTAAGACGACCGTATTAAGTACTAATAATAAGTATTACTAAAGCTCTATAACTTAGGCTACGGAATAGATACTCTTTCCCTATAGTAATTAGTTTACGCTTCTCGACTAGCGGAGTCGATACTAGTAGATAAGCCTACGCTTTCTAAGTAAGTAAGATAATAATATTAGGATATATAGGATAAACTACTTAAGGCTATTAAAGTAACTCTCTATAATTCTTCTAAATCTATATCTATCGAGTATAAAAGTATACTTACTCGACGGTATATCTTACTATCTAATTACTTATTAAAGAAAGATTACGTATAGTATAAAACCTAACTCTAGATACTAGATAATAATAAACTAAAGGTACTTCTTCTCTAGGTATATTATAATAGCTTAGTAATAGAATATCTAGGTAAAGTAAAGACGTTTAAACTCCTATTACGATATTACTTCTAGTCTAGAATCCTAAAAGATACCTAATACTATATAAGAAACTATTATATATATCGGAGGGCTAAAGCGTCTAAATAGAAATATTTAGGTAGTCTACTTTAACTACCCGTACTAATAAGGCTATAAACCGAGATCGCTATAGACTTCGTAGTAGATTTACTCGCAAGTAAGAGTATAGTCGATAACCTAGTCTATAATAACGTAATAGTCGTAACTAATAGACTTACTAAGTAGAGATATTATATCCTATATTAAGCTATAGACGTAACTACTATAGCCCGACTCTTCCTACGATATATTTTCTTAAGGTACGGACTTCCTAACGCTATTATATCTAACCGAGGACCCTAGTTCGTCTCTATCTTCTAGAAACGGCTTTATAATAGACTATAAGTTTAAAAACGCCTTTTAAGTACTTACTACTTCGAAATCGATAGATAGTTAGAAAACTCTAATTAAATAATAGAATAGTATCTTCGATACTATTATAACTATATATAAGATAATTAGATCGACTAGTTACTCTTAGTAGAATTTACGACTAATATATACGACTCGAAGATAATAAAGATATTACTATTCTTCGTAAACTACGGCTTTTATCCCCGTCTTAGAGTGGAACCTATAGAGAATAAACTAATAGCTACTTATACTATACTAGATATATAGAAGGCTAATAACTTCGCTAATAGAATAAAAGAAGTATATAAAGTATTAAGAGACGAAATAACCTACGCTTAGGTATCCTATAAAAAGTTTATAAACTTAATAAGGAAATTCTTATCTATATACGCTATCGGAGACTATATCTAGCTAAACGCTTATTATCTTAAAATAAACCGACTATTAAAGAAACTCGATATAAAGAACCTAAGACTATTTAGAATAATCTAAATTATTAATCTACGAGCTTATCGACTCGAACTACCCGAGTCTATAAAAATCTATAACGTTTTCTATATCTTCCTATTAGAGAGGGTATCTATAGACTCTTTCTCGGAATAGGTAGTAAAACCTATACCCCCGGTTACGGTAGAACGAGAAGAAGAAGCGAAGAAGGAATAAGAAGTGGACGATATACTAGATATAAGACTATACGAGAGAAATCGACGGTTATAATATCTCGTAAAATAGAAAGAATATCCGGAGAAGTTCTATAATTAGGAAGAAGTCCTGCCTAGTTATAATAAACTAGTTTAAAAGTTCTATATACGGTATCTAAATAAACTAGGCCTATCGGATAACTACGACTTCTCCTCCTAGAGAGTAATAGAAAAGGATCTATCGACTAAACGAAAGGAACGTCGATAGAGATAAAAATCTTATTCCTACGTTACGAGTACGTACTTAGATATTCGGTACTAGTCTTCCTAGAAGGTCTACTAATAGAGTCGATATAAGAATATTACTCTATATCCTATAGTTAATAGCCGCCGCCGAATACTCTAAACCTATAGAAAGGCTAGGAATTAGTCGGGACTCGATATCGAACGTATCTCTAGTTTACTAGGCGAAATAGATATAAAGGATAATAACTTAGTAGGTCTCGTTAACCCGTTTAAGGGGGGGTAATGTTACGGATTAATATATCGACTTCCTATTACGTGCCGCTACTATACTACGTAATGCCTACTAATACGTAACTAGCACGTAAGTAACGAGGGCTTAGTACGCATCGGTTACTGACTACTTACACGCGTAACCGAGTGCAACTCTTTCATAGTCCTTCGTCTTAGAATTCATATCATAAATAGCACATACGTTTGCAAGCCTCTCGTAGCAGTGCTCCGTGATATAGCTAATCTATTCGTCTTCGTTATAGACTATATTAAGAGATATTAAGTTATATAAGACTCTATTAAATAGTCTTATAGTTAATTCTTCTTATAATAAGTCTTAAGAGATAATCTAGGTTACTTTTAATAATCGATAAGGCTCGTATTAAATAGAAGTAATAGTCTTAATCTTTAGAAGTTCGATTACTATATTTAGTAGATATTAAAGCGCTTTATATTTAGTATACTCTATAACGGCGTATAGTCTATCTAGAGAGTCCTTATAGAGAGACTTACTCCCTTAAGCTACGATAGCGATAGTAACGGAAGTCTATCTTATTAACGCTAATACTACGTCGAAAGCCGCCTACGTATAAGGTATTACGAGAGGAGCTAGCGGTCTCGTAACGAAAGCTTCTCTAACTAATCCTAACGCCGCGGCGTTAGAAGTAGTCTTTAGGGTTATAGAAGAAGAAGAAGAAAAAGTAGATATAGAGTCGAATATATATAGTTATTAAGACGCTAAGATAGGATCGTTAAATAGTATCTAGTAACCGTCTTTTCTCCGTACGTAGTATAGATATTTATCGTTTAAGATTAACGCGCTATTTAATATATTCTAGTTAATATTCTTATTATCATATATAGATAAGATAGAGAGACTAGGTTCGTTATAAACTCTAGAATAAGTATAATATTAAGTAGTATAAGTTTCTTAACTTCATCTTTCGTAGATATACGTAGCTCTACGCTTCTAAATATCTTAATAGAATATCTATTTATTTCTATAATTAGTATATTAGTCTCGATCGTATCTCTAGTTCTCGTAAAGATATCTAGTTAATTATATATATAAATATTTAATTCGGAATTAAGTATCTAATAGTTCTTTAACTTATAATTAATAACGGCAATATATAAATATATTATAAAGGTATTAAGAGTAACTTCTTCTTATAGTTAATTATTCTTACTCTTCTTATTATTCTTATTCTTACTCTTATTAATAAGTCTCTTAATTCTCTTATATAGTACTTTATCGTTATTTAATCTAGTCTATACTTTATAATTAATATTAGAATTAGAAGACTAATTATTCGGTCGCTTCGAAGAATTTA